CCACAGGTGGTCAACGGCAAAGGCAGCCACTACAACATGATGCAGGCATTAGGGTCATTGAGTCATTGGTGCCAAACTTGTACTGATGTCACGGATGACACGTGATGTGCAGGGTGCAGGTTCTAAGAGAGTCGAACGTTGGTACTGACCTGCTCAGGGCGAGCAAGCAGCGACACAGGCAGCAATCGTACTCGAGTGGGCCAAGAGGCCAGAACACCTTTGAGTGCGTGTGGTGATGCATTTGTTTGCCTTTAATGCCATCGGTCAATACCTTTTGATTTTGGTGAGAAAGAGATCAAGTGATTAAGGCAAGTTTGTCTCTACTTTTGCTCCTCCCTTCTCTTTCTGTCAACATGTATGAAACATCATGAAACTACATGGAAGTGCTATTGCTACGTGTGCCTACGTTTACATAGAGGTTGGGAGGAGTGGCCAATGAGATACTACCATCCGCAGGACGTGACATGTTTTGAATCTCTTTTCTGCCATTGACTTAAATGCCAGATTGCTTGACCGCCTAGCTGTCAATTGGCTTTGTATGGCTTCTGTCTAGTTTAATATCAACCTCAGATGGCTACAAAAGCGGACGTGTTTGTGAGCCAGGCAGCAAGAATAAATAGTTATATAATCCGGAGTCTTGAGTTCAAGATGCTTCGGATGTGGGCGCAAGGAATTGAGGCTGCAAAAAGCCAGAAGATGCTGATTATGAGGCCTTGTCCACCATGTCAGAAGTTTCAAATAAAGCACCCAATGGGGAAGATCCCCGCCTTGGGCCCGATTTTGGCATCTATTCATCCATTGAACCAAACGGAACACCTTTGAGTTTGAGAGTCTCAACTTGTGGAGCGGACTGCGGAAGAAGCGCCTCAGATCCTCCCAATATTGTCAATAACTGTGAACGCTTGGAACCCCAGACTATTCAATTTTTGCATAACGGCTCAACGTCTTCTGGAGGCCTGGCAAAGCAGAGAGCGCCAAGATCTACTTGATACATGGCCTGTGCCTCAGGATGAAATGCTCCTTCAGACACCTCAGGAGGAGTGTCTTTGATGTTGAAGAAGCAGTTGAATCTGACACTCGAAGGAATCTGTGGTCTCGTGAGGTCTTGACGGAGATGCTATGAGTGGCGGCAGCACCTTCACCAGCATTGCGCAACGCCTGGCTCCATGCAGGCGGCCAAAAAGCTACCCAATCATCGAGCAACGAACTTGACCATTTTACTGCTTTAATGTTACGGCTTCAGCTTTTTGGACAGTTTTATATCATGTTTGACCTTCACAACCTCTTTTCCTTTGAGCAAGGTTCATCCTATTCTTGTGATGAGAACATTGCAGAGCTCTGAATGTTTATGCTGTAAATCCTTGATCGCTTCAAGACAGGGTGGGTGCGCTGGTCTACGACCAGGAGGCCTGTGGTGAATTTTTAGGTGTGCTTCCAGAATCTTGGAGGTCCTTCTGCAAGCGATGTTGTTTTGACTGGCGCTGTGTCGAATCCAATCAGATTGACAGAGCCTTGTGAGAGATCACTGTATAGGTTTGCTAGGTCAATCGAAAGGGATGAAACTGAGGTATATATGTTTAGCTACCCTTGCAGAGCCGAGCAATCCTGCATGTCATGCATGTCTCTCTCTCTCTCTCTCCCAGTGTTTGCTACGAAGGCTTTGGAATGCAACTCCATTCCTGAGCTTGCAGCTTGCTACAACCGACGGGTGGGGAAGCCCTGCAGAAGTATTGCGGCGTGACCATGCTAGATGTGTTTTTTTCTTTTTTAAAGCATGTTTTTTGTGTTCAAACCTTTAGTTGGCTCTGAGCACTACCAACTTTTGTCTATTCACAAGCTTGGCCAAATTGGTAGCTCATTGCAATTCCTGTAGCTTTCAAACGTTTCAATCCATGTCGGCGCTCCCTTTGAGATGCGCAAGGTGGTTGAAGATGCCAAGAGCCACAATCCTGCCGTGAGCTCTAAAGCCACAATGAGACTCCGATAGATGCTTTTGGTTAGGTGCAAGAACATGTTGTGATCAGGCATGGGTCAGAGGTGAGATGTCAACCTGCAACAAAGCTTCTCAGAAAGAGAAACATCTTGTCAACTTATGTTTCTCTCGGTTTCATTTCTTATGTTTGCAGCAGTTGTATGAAGCTGAGGCTGGTGAAAGCCTCATCATTGTTGCAGGCGTAGTCAAGAAGAGACCACACTGTTCAGACGACCGCATAGACCACAATCTCATGGTGCCAACCAAGTCTAGTGTCAAGTTTCCAACCAAAATTGTAAGCGTTTGTTTGAGATGCCCAAAAGAACAGGTTTGCTTGATGCCGCGAGGCTACTCCCATGGTTGTGTCCTTGCTCATCAGATGGGGCATCAGCTGCACAAGGAGGGGACAAGAGAAGAAGGGTCATGTGGATGAAAGAGACAGCTCACCATTTCACCATCATCAATAGCTTGGGCTGCTTGGGTTCTTGCCTGCGAGGCTGGCATTTGGACCGCTGTGGTGATGTTCGACTTGGAAGTAATCTGGCCACCGCCTAGCAACGACTCACGCGTGGGCGGCTACGACTTCTTGGGTGGAGAGGCAGAGGCGCAACCTCTCAAGACGAAGAGAATTGTAGTGTTTGCCGTTTGCTGGCTGGCAAGCGGTCAGAAAATTTGGCAAGCTCCGGAAATGCAAAAGAGGCTTTGCAATCTTTGAGAGTAGATGAGTAGATATGCGCAGAGAAGTAAGGCGTAGGCACTATTTTTTTCGGAAAGCGTAGGGTGCATATTGTCAGGCCACCTTGCTGATTTCGCGTGCCTTCGGCAAGTTCGACTTTGCAATCAAGGAGCTGGGAGAAAGTTGGACACGAGGGTAATGATTTGCCCGCCAAGATTAAAGCCAGAGATGTCTTATGATAAGACTACACAGAGGCGGCTTGAATCAGAGTCCCGAAATGAACAGGTCCTTTGAGCAGGTTGAGGTACCACAATTTCATCAGGAGGCCATCGAACTCACAGAGATGAAAGCTCGCGGTCAAAGCTGTGGGCTAAGAATGCATGCATTTGTAAGGGCTCAGAAGCACACCACATATTCCATGCGTTTGCACAGTTGCTGAGCTGTTGGCAGTTTCAAGGCATTGATGTGGACGCCTTGATAGAGAGAGCCTATGCTGCCTTGAACCAACGTGGGCTGTGGCCCAGACGCGTTTGAGCCGATAGAAGCAGAGCTTAAGGATTTAGGATGATTTATATAAGGGATCAGCAGGGTTGCCCTGCTGCTTTCACTTTGCATTCCCTCAAACGAGCAAGTAGAAATTGCGATGCAACTCAGCTCGTGGCCAGGTCCATTAATCTCCTGAAGATGATGGTGAATTGCCCAAGTTTAGCAAGATTCAGCTTCGAAGAATGGTAGTCCAAAGACTCAAAGATGTCCAACAATTCCAGCAGAGCTTTGACAAAGGATAAGGACTAAGGCTCAGGACTACTCAGGACTGTTCTAAATTCAGTCAATTAGACGGATTCCGCAAAAGACCGATGAAGACCGAAGACACATCTAGAGTCTAGAGTCATTTCCTCCACGGGTGATGTGGTCCAATCTGTGGAGGTGAAACGTGGTGGCGTCAACATTGACAAGTTGCACAACATCGGGAATCCATGGGAACCGCTCGGGCTACCCAGTGGACGGGTTCCTTCAAGATTGCAGATGTAAGACACGGCTTCTTGAACTCTAAGGTTGGAGAAATACGAAGGTCCTGCTCTGCTGATTCTAGCACCTGATACGCCTGAGCCGCTTGCCATGCAAGGGCTGCACATTTGTTGCATGGTCCCTTTACGGTATTTGTATGGTAGTTTAGGAAAAGCTTTCGGTTTCGATTACGAGGCGCTATTTCCTTCAGCTGCGGATTTCCTCATTGGCATGCTCAGGTTTCACAGTGCTGCTGAGATCAATGCTCAATATTGCACTCAAATGGAGGCTCTTGATACATTTGGAATTGCTGACACCGGTATTGGAGTCATCCAAGTGAATTTTGCACGGAGAATTAGATTTCACCTCACTCCTGGTTACGAGCTGAAGGGAGGTGTTGGGAGTTTAGGAATGCTCAAGAACCCTTCAAACATTGTAACATTTTGGAGGTTGGTCATTTGCAAGTGCTTTTCACCGCCACAGGTGGTCAACGGCAAAGGCAGCCACTACAACATGATGCAGGCATTAGGGTCATTGAGTCATTGGTGCCAAACTTGTACTGATGTCACGGATGACACGTGATGTGCAGGGTGCAGGTTCTAAGAGAGTCGAACGTTGGTACTGACCTGCTCAGGGCGAGCAAGCAGCGACACAGGCAGCAATCGTACTCGAGTGGGCCAAGAGGCCAGAACACCTTTGAGTGCGTGTGGTGATGCATTTGTTTG